ATTTTATGTACTGTCAGCCTTGGTCAAATTTAGTTTAGGGACTTTGTGTGGGCTGAATGCACAGCGTCAGGGCATCAATTCCTACTGTGCAGGGCAGCAAATGCCACTACAAAGGACAACTTACTATTCTCCCTAGTTTGTACAGTCAGGAGGAAGCCCTGTCCCCACTGTCCTAACCTGCTCACTAGAGCTTGCATGTGAGGTTTTCCTTAACAGTAGCTTGCTGGCATTTTAGGAAGTTTACTGGAGAATTTGCTTTGATCAGTAGTTTATAACCCAGGACAATTTTTCACACGAGGGGACGTTCGGCATGTCTGGAGACATTTTTGGTTGTCACAACTGAGTGATGGAGCTGCTAGTGGTATCTAGTGGGTAGAGCCCAGCAATGCTGCTAAATAACCTCCAACGCACAGGACAGCTCCCATAACAAAGAATTATCCAGCCCAAATGTCAGTAGTGCCAAGATCGAGACGCTCTATCTAGAAATATATCCATTGGATTTGAAATTTCCTCTTGGCTTTTACATCAGGTTACACAGGAGATTATAAACAGTGTTGTCTAAGTTAACGTTATCATTCTTGAGGCAGTGATAATAAAAGGAATGATTATTCTACAAATAAAACCGAAAAGCATTTAAACAAAGTAAAAATAAAGAGAAAACTAATAAAGGTAGTGAGGAGGAAGAAACTATCCAGGGAGATCAGGTTAGGGGGATCCTTTAGCAGAATTCCAAACAGGAGCTTTTGGGAAAGGGAAGAGGGCAGGCTCCACGTCTCATTCAGTTTTGCAGTCCCTGAACTATAGCGTCTGACAAATTCTGGGCTCAACACATGTTGATACGAAACGAATGGTAGATACTAGTTCCTCCTCTTCTTAAAGATTTTTGTGCATGAAGATTCTACACTAGTTTTTTTTTTCTAAACTAATGATGGTTAATTACTTTTCCAGTTAACGAGTTCTATCTTACTAACTGAAACTCTCTGAAAATAGTTTAAATCCGTAGAGGACCAGTTATAGCTCCTTGTTGTATTCAATAAAGACATTTTGTTTATACTTACTCTGATTCCTTCCTTGTCAAGGATAAAAAACAATTGGCCAGGATAATTTTTTTAACCAGATAACATTAACACATTATTTCGTATTTAATCAGGCTAAACAATCTCCTTTCTCTTCACTTTTTGTTGTTCACCTTAAATAGGATAATCCTATTTGTTTGAGACTAATTTTTCCAAACTCATTTTTAAATTCAGAGTCTCTAATGAGAAACAGTACTCTTAGACTCATATTCAAGGACTATTTTTTCCGTATTTCTTCTGGACCAGGTTTTACATTAGACATTTTCATATTTTTTTATTTCTCTGTATGGTAGGGAAGTTTGGTCATGTTTTATAGATGAAGAAACTGACTTAGAGAGGTTCGGGAAATATATCCAAGTTCATACAGATTGTAAATGGTAGAAATACGATTCAAATTTAGATTTTTGGAATCCACTGGCAGGAGTCACATGACAAACAATACTTTTAGACCATTAAAATTACTTCTCAGGTTTTGCATATCAGACCAATAGCAGTAATTCTAATATCGTTATTTGATTATTAATAATAGCACCATACTGATGACACAGTTGAGGACTGGAAAATAGGTTTCAAAGCTTGCCCAAAGGATTAAAGTTGCACAGTCACCATATTTAGTGGTTCCACATCTGATGCTTTCAAGGCCCTAGTATTATCCACAAAGTTAATGGCTTAATTACTATATCTTTGTTTTTAAACAGATAATACTGTGTTAATTATCTATGGCTGTGCAACAAATTACCCCCAAACTTGGTTGAAACAGCATTTATTATCTTATAGTTTCTGTGGGTGTCTCGGGCTTAAAGTTTCTCATAAGGTTGCAGCTAAAGTGTAAAGTAGTGTTGCAGCCTCATTTGAAGGATTGACTGTGGGGAAATTTGCTTTCAAACTCACTCACGTGGTTGTTGAGGGAATTCAGGTTCTCATGGGTTGTTTGGCTGAGGGCCTCACTTCCTTTTTGGTGAGAGACATCAGTTCCTTGCCACTGGGACCTCTCGATAGGAAATCTCTCATCATGGTAGCTGGCTCCCATCAAAGCAAGTGAAAGAGCTAAAGCAGTCCAGCAATACTGAAGTCACAGTCTTTTGGTAACCTAATCACAAGTCACTTCTCATCTCTTTACTGTAATATATGCATTAGAAGTTAGTCACTAGGTCCAACCCACACTCAAAGGGGAGGGATTTCTTCAAGGGTGTGAATAGCATGAGGAGGGGATTATTAGGGGCCATCTTAACCATTGCCCACCATAATTGTTAACCAATCTTTTTATATGTGAAAGGATAGTTTTTTTATGTTTCCTAAATACAAATTTATCCACTTTTCAACAATATTCATAAGATTAAAATTGTTCTTCTAACAAAAGGCTTTTGAAGCCATCAGGCAACTAGCCACTCTGGCACACATGGTTGGGGTGCTGACTTCAGACTCACGGAGATAGAGGGCAAGGGAAGTTTTCTTAGACCCAGTGCCATCTAAAATGAGACTTGAGGGAAAAACAGGTATTAGCCAATGAAGAAGGGCATGAGGACAGGGTGAGCGAAGGAAGTGCCAAGCAGAAGGAGAAACACGAACACACAGAATCCTAGAGATGAGAAACAACATAGCTTGCTCAGGAGAATACTTCCTTAATCATTTATGATATTAAACATCTCCACCTGTAATCTTATCAGAGTATTACGGTTTGTGGTTATTCTTAAAGAAGTAGTCTTAAACTGACCAGAATAACTGTTAAATATCAAACTGATGATTATTTTATTGAAGTAGTTTTCTAGTTTAGTCCTGCAAGATATATTGGGCCTAAGAACCCTGAATTTTTCCTGGCCGCATGCACCACATACAGTGCCTTCATTCCTAATTTTCCTTCTGCCTGAGGCAATATCCTAAGGCTGAGGCTACAGAACTTTAGGTGCTGGGCAGATTGAACAATTAGGAGGTAACTTGGTCAATCTGATTAGCCCAACCTAATAAACTGCAAATTAAAATATCTCCTCCTCCTGGCACAAAAAGGAAATAGGAATGGGGAAGAGATTAGATTATTTTGACCCTCTTACTTCCTTTAGGCATTAAGTCTACTGGTCAGTGGTCAGTATTAACATATTTCATGTAGTTACTATCAAGTTCCCTGATACGCAGGATAAGAACTTCTTCATAGTCAGCATTTTAGAAGAAGGCCTCATGTCTAATCTCCATGTGCACAGAATAAACTGATATATTATTTTCCAGGAAGGATGTTAGCATAAATGACGACATACAACCTTAGGATAGGGGTCTGATTGTTATTAGGCAGTATGTATACATTGATTTTTTTGACTCGTTTCCAAAACTTTGATTATGCAGAATTTTGAACATATACAAGAGTAACCAGAATAGAATGTCCACCATCCAGCCTCGGCAACCATCAACCCATGACCCATCTTGCCCAACCCACTCCACTAACACCCCCCCCCCACACGTTATTTTTGAAGTTTATTCCAGATATCATGTCATCTAGGAATATTGCAGTATATACCTCTAAAAGAAAAACAGTTGTTGTTTTTAAACAAAACCACAGTAGTATTTTCTCCTAAAAAGACCAACAATAATTCCTTACTATTATTAAATAATTAGTCTTTTGTTCTTAGTTTTACTTTCTTTTTATAGTGAGATGGGTAGATAGATAGATAATTAGTAGTTCTCAACCAGGGCTGGTTTTAGCCCGCAGGGGACATTTGGCAATGTTTGGAGACATTTTTGTTTAGAACTGGGAGGTGCTACTGGCATCTAGTGGGTGGAAGCCACATGTGCTGCTAAACACACAGAACAGCCCCCCATAACAAAGAATTATCTATTCAAAAATGTCAATAGTGCCACTGTGGAGAAACCCAGATAGATAGATAGATAGGTAGATAGATACGGATAGTAGTTACGATGAGCTAAAGTTTATAAAGAAGAGAGATACAGAATATCTATGCTATAAGGTCATTTTAGTCGCCACACAAGGCGAAAATGGATTTAAAATTGAAAAGATGATTCAGAATATGTAGTTATTCTGATCAAAATGCCCCATAAATCAGATGGAATTTCATGATTTTTTTAAGGATGGAGACCAGTGGCCCTGTATTCGTGAGACATCTGTTCCAGGTGTGGATGAGGAAGTTCAGAAAAGTACAATGCTTCTTACGGGGGCAGCAAAGTCAAAGGAAGCGATGGACAAAATGTTTAATAAATGCAGGCAGAGCACATATTCTGCAGCAAAAGAAGGACCTAGCAAAAATTATTTTCAATTTGCTGAACAATAATTTGTCAGAAATGACTCTCTTTCACGTAAAATGGTGCTATGAATGTTAACGCTTGTGACATATTTTTAAGATGAAAATTGATATTTCTTTAATGCAGTGAGAGCTATGCTCATTATTCTCCACACAGAACCCCTGGCAATAATTTACCTAGCAGCGCAGCAGTTCATGCAGATCAAAGGTGCATTATTTAAACGTGTCCAAGGGGCAGATTTTAGCTCCGTGCCTTATACTTTAAAGAAAAAAAGCATTGGTTTGCTTCTTGAGAAACAAAATCTGCTTAACTAATTAGGTACTTCATGCAAGTCCTACAATATTTAAACTCACACGACTTCCTCCTATTATCTGGGATGAACCCTCTCCCTACTCCAAAAACTCTCAAACCTAAGGGCAGGAGAACAACTGTGGGAATGTAAATTGCTTCAAAGGAACAGCAGCATGTTTTCATTTAAATTAAACCCGAATGTGAACTAGATTCAGGAAAGGAAATGGCAGAGAGAGAGAAACAGAAAGAGAGAGAGAGTCTGTAGTTGCTGTAGAACGTCACTGGCTGCTTCAGCTCACAGACAGCTAATGAGGTCCAACTCTGAAATTTCAGGCAATTTGTATACCAAGCTCCTCCTTTTCTGTAGTCTTCTCTTCCATTGGTAAAATTCTTTTGCAGGGTCATGTAGGGATCCCACCCCTTCTCTGTGTTTTCACTCTGAAGCTCTACACAACTTTACACCTGAATGAACGCCAAACCTCAGTGGATATATAAAGGGAACCTTGAGGAGGAATTTCACAGTTACAGTGCAGAAGCAGAGGGAAAGGAATTAACCAGCTCTCCAGCCAAGCAAATCCTCTACTCACCATGCTTCCTCCTGCCATTCATTTCTATCTCATCCCCCTTGCATGCATCCTAATGAAAAGCTGTTTGGCTTTTAAAAATGATGCCACAGAAATCCTTTATTCACATGTGGTTAAACCTGTTCCAGCACACTCCAGCAGCAACAACACTATGAATCAAGCCAGAAATGGAGGCAGGCATTTCAGTAACACTGGACTGGATCGGAACAGTAAGTGTGTTTTACTTGTTTGGATTTTGATTTTTCTTTTTTGGTAGCATTAGCTCACATTCCTGTAGAATTGTTTCATTGCTAACTAATGGGAACCATATAGATTTTACTAAACAATCTGGGAGTAATCTGCTGCATGTGTAGACTGGCGTTGTTCCCCACGAAGTTAACAACTAAATGGTGATTTGATACTGCAGGCACAGACTTAAGTTTTATCAAACATCCAAAAAGAAAATGTTTCCAGAAATTAAATTGTTGCTTCTTTAAAATCATTCAAAGGGGGAATTTTAAAGAAGCATTGTTCTAGATAGTTTAAATTCAGGTTGCTTTCTGTTTATTTCAGCACACGTGCAATTTTGGTAAAGTGTATAAAGGTGACTAACCAAAGCAGGCATAGGAAATCACAAGGGAATAAAAGCTTTCCAGGGAAAAAATTGCTCATGCAGATTTCTAAAATATGTCTAGTGAAATAGTTGAAAGTTCTGATGGTGATCAGTGTAAGAGGAATAAAACTAGAAATGTTGGAGAATCTTATTTTTCTGAGATAACTCCTTATTAACCAGATCAAAATTTAGGTAATTGTACATTTCTGTGAAAGATTGGGGAAAATTTTTATAACTTTAGAGAGTTAAAATAATAACAGTACAATAGTATTTTGTATAGGGGGTATTTTTTTTCCTTTTCTGTTTGCTTAATTGACACGCTAATTGCCCACTAGCAAGAGGGATTCAAATTTCTTCTCCTAACTTTTGCTTCACTCCTTTCCTTTAGAAGAGTTTACATGTTAATAATCAGGTTTTAAGAGAGACAGAGAGAAACGGTGCCCAGGAAATCTTACACAAATCTTTTGCTCCTCCTCCTTAACTCCATTTAACTGATCAAGGTAGTTTTGACCTTTGAAAAGTCAAAGTAAATACGACTGTTAATGTCTTTCTAAGAAAACCAAGGTGTTTTAACTTTTCTGAAGGTGGTTGCTTTTACGTACACAGGAAATATCTGATGATTATTAGATTACTGAGCAATGTGGTGGGTATTCATTGTCAATGAACTGTCACTGCAAAAATGCCAAATCTCTACATACACAGGAACAAAAAAAAGACAAGTCAGAGTCATCTCCGGCTGTTTCCAGGTGCATTCCTAAGGCAGTTGCAGAAAGGGGAGCTGGAATCTGAAGCAGACAGGCAGAGCGCACCGACCGGCCAACTAGTTTACCCTTTAATTTTAATCCCACACTCTATATCTATACGGATTATGTGTCATTATGCATAAATTTCTCACAATTATCACATCCCTTTCAGCTATGTCTATCACCTCAGAAGTACTTTGGCACAGAGAAGTAAAACTCCTAAAGCAGTGTCTATTTCAAATTAGCTTTCAGGATTCAATGCAAGGCCACTTCAATGTCCCTTATAACTTTTAATTTTTGAACTTCAGCAGTGTATACTTTCAAACATTTTTTTTCTTTTCGGGTTAACGAGCCTTGATTTCTTTTCAAGCTTGTTACAGGCAATTCTCCTCAAGTTTAGATAACAAAGCAATGGAAAGGAAAACTCAAATATTTCAAGTTTAATTTTTGCTTTAATTACATAAGGCATGTAACAAGAAACAGCCAATTAGAAAACATACCTATCAAATTCAAACAACTAAAGAAAAAGTTTGCCATGACCAGTATTCAGGAAACGAATACCGTGGTTCCTTTTGCAGTTATAAATCAGACATGTTAGGCATTTTTCTGCCATAAAATTCATGGAAATGTAGCCAAGTTGTTATGGCAACCATACGTTCCTGATTTAAGGGCTTTTATATTCTTTAAATCTTGAATTGTAGTGACATTTTGCATTTCAAACATTTTAGTATTTGTGTTTTTAAAAGATAGCTTGGGAATTTACGTCTAAAATGTAGTTATTAAGTTTGATATGTGAAATGTCAGACTTTGTGCACAAATGTATGTATGAGTCTCTGCAGCTGAATTTTCTAATTGAAACAAAATATTACAGAAAGCATATGCATTGTACACAATATTTAAATACTTTGCACATTTTCTCAATAGGTTTTTTAAAAACCTAATTAAAAGCACTTGCAGACATTAACCAATATGACTCATGAAAAAAAGAAGATTAAAATGTACTCTTTTTTAGCTTATTGAAGAATGAATAATTACACATAAATGTATGAGCTGCTTAACCCTTATTGGAGAGTTAGACTAAGAAAATGGGATTTTCAAATACTCCAGTATGCAATCAGCTAATGTTGCACATGAAAAAGAATCAGGCCTAGCTTATTTTATTCCAAAAAAGTTATAGCCATGTAAACTGATGGTTTTCATGAAAGTGGCCTTACCACCATTCAGACAGATTTTTGCATTGTGAAAGTAGAACAGGGGGTTCACTTCCTATTTGACAATTTGCTATCATTGGATATTGTTTCTGTCATTACAGATTACCTAAAAAAAAAGCATCCATTTGCTTTTTGCCTCTGATGCACGATCTTTTCTATTTCCTGCAGCTCGTGTTCAAGTGGGTTGCCGGGAACTGCGTTCCACCAAATACATCTCTGACGGCCAGTGCACCAGCATTAGCCCTCTGAAGGAGCTGGTGTGTGCTGGCGAGTGCTTGCCCCTGCCAGTGCTCCCCAACTGGATCGGAGGAGGCTATGGAACAAAGTACTGGAGTAGGAGGAGCTCTCAGGAGTGGAGGTGTGTCAATGACAAGACACGTACCCAGAGAATCCAGCTGCAGTGCCAAGATGGCAGCACGCGCACCTACAAAATCACAGTGGTCACCGCCTGCAAGTGCAAGAGGTACACTCGGCAGCACAATGAGTCCAGTCACAACTTCGAGAGCATGTCGCCTGCAAAGCCAGCCCAGCATCACAGACAGCGGAAAAGAGCCAGCAAATCCAGCAAGCACAGCATGAGTTAGAACTCAGACTCTCAAAACTGGACTGACTAGTAACCATCCGCTTTACAGATTTGATTGCTTGGGAGACTCAAGCCTGCCATTGCTATTTTCTTACTTGAAAATATATGCTTTCTTCTTTGTTCAAACCCAGCAAGCTGTCCTAAGTATCAGGACTTCCTTTTCAAGCTTTTTAAGATGTACGCATATCTGTGAGAGCAATTTGCATTTAAATTCCACGCATCCCGTAGTTTTAATTCTCCGTGGTTCTTGAAAGACTGGTGATGCTATATACATCACTGAGTCATTACTTTTTAAAACAGAAAAGGGCTTCTCAGTTACCCTCTACTTCCCAAACCATCCCACCCCCCCCCCCCCCCCCCCCCAAAACCCTTTCAGAAGTGAAAAGTAAAAAAAAAAAATTGTTGCCGTGAATCTTCACGGTAACACTTCAGAACGGTGCTTTTTGGTGATCTTCATGGGAACAGCTTAGCAGCCATGAGTGATCTCTCTTTGAAAGAGTGAAAGACCTTGTGACATTTCACTTCAAAAATAAGCCCTGTAGCTTTTTACAGTCTCATAGTATGAAATTATACCTTGCATGCTGACCCTCGCTTGGAATGGAATGCCAAAAATGCATGACAGCAGCTAATAAGTAAAGCTGATTAACTATTTATTTGTCAATGTTATTATTTAATGAGCTTTCACATGTGATTTTTTTCAAAATGTTAATTTTTTATGTTTTGGAGCTTTTTCATGTACCTAAATATTTTCCTGTATGATTTGTGGTTGATCTAGAAATATGAGGATACCTGTTGTAGATATGTGAAATAAATATTTTAGTCTCCTTATTACTTATGTGTTTCATCACGAACTTTATCAATAGTGTGAATCTTTTAAAATCAATAAGATGCTTTGTTAAGCTGAAATACGTAATACTTTTGTGTTTAATCTGTGCAATCAGAAGGTAATTTGACCTTCAATTCCATCAGTTTCTTTTGACAAAAATAAACACTGCTAAAAGTTATTGTCGCTGCCTGTAACGTGTATGAAAAGGTACGTGTTTACAAAACTTACAGAGTAAATGTATCAGAGTAGTTGCTTTTTTTGATAAGGAACATTCAAGTTTTGATAGAAAATTCTGTAGTAAGAGAGAGAGACCAAAAAAGGGAAACCATCTTTTCAGTAAATGGAATGATTGAGAAAATCGGGTGGAAATCCAGCAGTGAGTTATAATGAGAATATCATATTTATATACATCCGGAGATGCCAAGTCTGCTACCAATTATAATTACCTGGGGGAGATATTATAAGACCCAATGTCCAGGCTGCCATCCAAATTATATCATAATTTCTGGGAGTGGAAGTCAGATATCAGCAGTTTTTAAGGTTTTCCAGGTGATTCCAACGTGCAGCCAAGTTTGAGACAGGAATTGTGAAGAAATCACAATCATACATTGGGGAGCTTCAAATACTACTGTATGACCCTCAAATGAAAAAAGTGAAACAAAATAAAAACAACAAAGAAAACAAAAACTAATTTTTCAATGTTTTCAATTTTAACATGTTCTTATATTAAGCAACATAATCACAGTCCTGAACCAGATTATATAGTTAAGTGACTGATGTGTGAATTCAATCAAATGATTGATCCCATCACTCCAAATGAAGAATACCAAAGAGCCTTAGTTATATATCGATAAGATCTTCTGGGTTTTCCTTTTTTGGATCCTGAGCATGAAGGAGTCCTTGGTACTCCTTGGTAGTAGGTTGTTCTTTTTGTAATTACATGTCTAAAAGTCTCATGTAATCACATAAAGCATAATAGGCTAAATAAGGATATTAATATTGTTCCTTATGAGAGGCAGGAGAATCTCAACATACATGAAGACAAGAAAGCATCCCTGATTTTATAATAATGTTAATTATTGTATCATCAAATAAAGTAATGATTCATAGTCCACTATTGATTTATCTTCCAGTCTTACTAACTGCATCTTAAAATACTTGATATTATATCATCATATTAATACGTGGGACATTCATAATAATTATATCATGCTTGAGTATACCAAAAATGTGTTGTTTCATATGTCTATTTTACTTGTTTATCATTGCTAACTATGGGATATTTAACATAACACAGAAAACAAGACATTTTAGCCATTTCTTCCTTCTCAACAAGACAGCACCTTCTACAGAAGGCCTTAGAGATGATCTCAATAATTAGTGTGTCCTAAGATCTGAAGCATAAATAGGACTTGACCTGACAATGGCTTTTTACAATCAAGAAGACTATGTTCTTACCTTTTACTAATAAAACATTTAAACAAAGGTTTTGGTGATAATAAAATGCTAAGATTATCACTGATTTGATTGCTAATAGTGTAATTAGTAAATGAATATACTAGGAAAAATAAATTGGATTAAAGGAAACTTATAAATAAGACTCCTCTAGTCTCTACTAAGTCAAGAATGGATCCATTTCTCATGCTCACATTCAATTTACTGATCCATTTCAAGCCATGATACATTGGTGATGCACTGCATGGTATTTAACATCAAATGACAAGAAAAGGTCAGCAGTCAATAAGAAAGACTGAGGATATAATCAGGCTCTCAGTAAAATAAAAATTAAAAGTCAACAGAAAGAGTAGCTTTGTAGTTATTACTTAAAAATTCCGAAAAGGACTTGTGTCTGAATTGTTGATTATATTTCAGGGGTTTTTTCCCCAGTTAACTCCCATGTTCCAGTCTGATTAAACTCTGCATAATTATAATCTCACCTTAGTAACTATCTTTCAAAATGATGAATTGTGATAATTCTAGCAGAGTCTGACCTTTAGTTCCATTCATAATATCTATCCATAAAGGATTTGTTTATCAAATTTATTTTGGCCACTATGGAAATAGGACTTTTTCAAGTGGTTTAATAGATAGAAGATAGATATTGATATTTATGTATTTACATATATGTGTAGATAGATGTATATATCAATAATAAAAATTAAAGAAAAATTATTAGCACATATACAAATAAATAATACATATAGTGTGCTATCCCTAAGTTAAATATGGACGTGGAGCCTTTAGAAATATCTATTTGTGAAAAAAAATTAATATTTTATCTAGAAATCATTTGTATCTATTTTAGTTACAAATAACCGTCAATTGGCAATCTGTTAACTATGTCTATTTTACTGCACACTTTTTGAAATGCAATGAAAATTAGAGTACTTTTTTGTTTTTGAGGAAGATTAGCCCTGAGCTAACGTCTGCTGCCAATCCTCCTCTTTTTGCTGAGGAAGACTGGCCCTGAGCTAACATCTGTGCCCATCTTCCTCTACTTTATGTGTGGGCTGCCTGCCACAGCATGGCTTCCCAAGCGGTGCGCACTTAGGTCCTCACCAAGGACCTGAACCTGCGAACCCCAGGCTTCCGGAGGGGAACGTGCGAATTTAACCACTGCGCCACCAGGCCAGCCCCTGGAGTATGTTTTTTTTTAAATAAGAAAGACTTAATCTTAATCCATCTGGTCCCACATTGTAATTAGTAAAGTTTTACCAGGAGATCATGCTATATCATTCACCCTATATGCTACTAGAATGATTTTTATAATGTAACATGATCTATCTATTTAGCATGAGAATTGCTTTAATAGATACTCAGTAGAATGGTTACACTAGGTAGTTATGAATGGAGAAAATAGATTTAGCCAAAGCAAAACCAAGAAACTTCCAAATTGCTGAATAAAGTTAAAGCCTTTGAAAATTTAAATTTAATATGTTGAAAAACCCTTTTCTGCCATCACCATAAAATTTAGGTATCAAAATCTAATTCATTATATTTGGAATTAAAGCATCATTTGGATTAGACTTAACTCTTGAAAATGTTTCTTTCAGCATTTATACACTTTCTATAGTCATACAGTTTTTATGAAAAATGGAATCCATGGCAAGTCTTTGATGGAATCCTTGTAGACACCCCAAAGGAGTTCAGTGGGAAAATCACTTAGAATCCTCAGTGCTAGAGTGCATTCTCTTGTTAGAATGTTTCCTTCCCTCAAAGGTGGATAGAGATGACTTCCATCTTGGTTTCATTGGAACCTGTTAAAATATAGCTCTGTGTTGAATTGAAATGAGTCTAGGTTTGTGAACTAAGTAGACATTTGGCCACTGGAAATCTTTGTTACATCCACAAAGAAGACCTACTTGAATAGATATCCCAAAAGACATTCTCCTTGTCAGTGTCAGTTTCGATTCCATTAGGTTTGTCCATCATTCCTGACCCAATAGCTGACATACCTTTGGTGCCTTTGCCTGCATAGTTTGCAAATTGCTTTGAAAAGCTACAGGGTAACAACTACCGCAGGAATCCCAGTGGAAAGATGTTTCAACTTCCAGGTTCAAGAATTGATTAAAATGAATTAATGCCAATTAATTCAATAGTGCATAATTATTTCCAGGGCAAATTAGACTCAGTGATAGTTTATCATCTGCATTGGCAACCCTACTGAAGGATTTATTTTCTCTTACAAATGAAGAATGAAACAGTTTGGGAGATTTATAAAGGAATTTAAATATTTTCCTTTGATTTTGAATAACTGCAAAGCAAGGGTTACCTTGTATTACTGATTTCATTTTTAGTGGTAGAATTAGGTGCTTACATCTGAGACAGAATGTCTAAATTGAATGACATCGTCAGTGAAACAGACATATTCAGCCAAAGTTCATTGTTATTAAAACTGATCAGGAGTTTGATAGGCTTAAAGATAACTTACTATTAAAATATAAGCATCACTTGTTTTCAGTAGGAATAAATTCCGTTTTTTGAAATTTATTATCATTAAATTCACATAAATTTAAAAATGTTTTCAGTTACAAAATTGGCAAATTTTCACAAAATGATTAGTTGAGTTCTTTTATTCATTGAAGTGCTACTCTAAATTTGGCATTCCAAGAGCCTGAAACACTGAATCCAGCAGTCCAGTAACCAGGACTTCTTAAGATTCTTCACAATCTTTGATCAGCACGATACTTCATGTTAAATAGTTGACAATTTTTACTAACTGCAGCTTTCTGTATATTTGTTTGCCTTGTCTCTTCTCTTACTTTTCGTGAGTGGTTTATATGCTATAAAATATTTCCTTTGTGTGTGTGTTTTTACTTTCTCAAGCTCAGAGAGTTAAAAAACAAACATCTCTTTGTTTCCACAAATTTTCTTGTTGCAAAACAAAGACAAGAATTGCTCAAGTCATTTAATAATCTAATGAAGGTTTGCCATTTTGCCTGTTTATTGACTATCTTTCCTAAGAGTTGGTTAATTTTGTCCACTTTGTATATTAATTAAGAAACATTTTACATTTAATCCAATTTAGTTTGACATTTTAAAAAGTAATAAGCAATAAAGTTTTCAATTGGACTCATCTGAAATTTTTTCATGCAGCAATTTTATACAGGTGACTTCAGGACATGTGAACTTGGAAACAGAAGACCTGGGATGTGGTTTAGACTGTGCTGCTACTAATTGGTTGAGCGAAATTTCACTTGTGTTTTAAGATTCCTAGACCTCAATTACTTTATCCATAAAATAAGGGAATTGAACTAGATAATGTCTAAATTGTCTTTCAACCTAAAATATTCACATTCTGTTATCCCAAACAATATGGCCATATTTTCAGTCACGCTGATATCCACAAAGGCAGGTACTCTCTAGTTCTCACGGTTTTTCCAGGGTACTCAATTGTGAAATTTCAGAATAAGATTTTGGTCAGACTTGTAATGGAATTGACATATTCCATCATAACAAATACCTCGTTAAGGCAGACAATATGAGATGAAATTGGACACCCAGCTCTAGGAAGGGTGAGACTGTAGCCTGTTACTGGGCATTTCCCACATTTTTGCCAACTTGAGCAAACACCAGGAAGATGTTCAGGACCACAGAAAAAGTGAGGGAACTTTGCATAAAAGGTATTAGAATTTTTCTCTGTAAAAAACATTATTGCTACCCTATTACCTACTCATTTCTAGAGAAAATAATAAGAAAAAGTGGCTATAACTTAGAGTTATGTTTTATTATAAAATGGTGTTATGTTTTTGTAAAGATTTCATTTTGAAAACTGTAACCATACATATTGTGATATAAGTGGGATAATGATATTTCTAGTCAAAATATTTTATGATATTTGAAATTCATTCATTCATCTATTCATTCATCTAGTAATTGTTGCAAATCTAGCTGTGTCTATTAGGCCCTAAAAACATGGTGGTGAACAAATGGCAATCTAATTAAGAAAATAACAAATGTCTTACTACAAAATGCAAAGGTAATTATGTATAATCTCATTTTTGAGCCAGACTCATAGAGCATCATTGCTATGATCCATTACCTAAATTGTACCATCTGGACTCAGAAAGAATACACTTCAGAAGAGAATGAGAATATTGCCATAAACATTTGAGGTAGACTATAGCAAACTGTAGAAGCATACTGAGAAACAATTTTCTTTCTTTATGATTGTTAGGTCTGCCAAATAGAGCTGAAGCCTTTATTTATAAGCAGACATAATTTTAGCACTAACTTCCTGAAAAGAACCTACCTTCTTGTATAAAGTTGTTAGAAATCTTAGAGATTTTTCTGTTTAATTATTCAAATATTCTTGTACTTATCTGTTGCTTTTTGCAGTCCATCATCTTCTAAACATTGATGTTAAACATAGAAATTCCTGTTTCCTGATAGTTTCCATATATTAAGAGAATCCAGTTTATTGTTGATGATAGCACGAGTAAAGGGAATAGCTGTAGACCACTTCAGCAAACAACATACGTTCATCTAGGACACAAGATACTGTATTTCCTGTGTCCAATATTTGCATAGATATTTTAAAATAATTGCACATTTTTGAAATAAATTAAAATTAAAATACCACCATTGTAATCAATTTGCTTGGGAGAGGGGTGT